CTACACCTTGTCATCTCAGATTCTCCAGCGTCCGCAGTTCCTGCTATCTCTGATGTTCTGGATACCTGGGTTTGAATCCTGCCATGGCAGATGGTAGAATTTGAATTTAATAAAAATCGGGAAGTAATGATGAGCAATAAATCTATTGTCCATTCTCAGAAAAACCCATTTGGTCCACCAATGTCCTTTAGGGAAGGAAATCTGCCATTCTTACCTGGTCTGGCTTACATGTGATTCCCGGCCCACAGTAAGATGCTTAAGGATGGGCAATAAATGCTGGCCTAGCTTGTGACAACCATATCTCATGAGTTAAATTTTAAAAAATTAATTGAATTTAAACTCCTTCTGCTGCAGTAGTGTGATTTGAACTATTGTCTCTGGATCGGTAGTCCAGATGTCTGGAATACTATTTTAGTACAGGTAACACCATCATTATGCTCTGCTTCCAACAGGTTGAGGCTGATACCCTACATCGAAGGAATGAAAGTTCAAACTGGGTCAGTTGCTCCTCAACAAGGAAACCTCAATAAAAATAGGATCATGCTGTGGTGTGGGGTACCCTCACATTCAAATAGCCTGTCAACTGGACTGAACATATGATGAGTGGCCCCTTGGGCTGGATACTATGAAAACGTAACAGTTACTGACTTAAGTAGGAAAAAGAGAAAGAAAATGTTGGTGACGTTCTAATGTTCAGTGTTGTTATCCTGCAGAATAACCCAGAGACAGAAACATACCTTCCTCCTCATCATCCTCTTCCTCTTCCACACAGGCATCCTCCCTTTCCTTTTGCCACTGTAGCCTTTCCTGGACAATTTTCTCCTGATAAGTGCTCATCAGCAGATCAGACAAGCACATGGCATTGCTCAGGTTTTTGCTGTTCTCAGCCAACAACTCCTCCTCCGTCATGTATTGTCTAATGTACTGTTGGTACAGCAAAGGATCTCGAGTTCGCATCTGCTCGTCACTGAAATACTCCCCATCTGTAAAGAAAGGCAAAGGGTGTCATCAGCAAAGACATCATTTGGTACGTTCTTGAAAGTGCAGGACAGAATCCAGGCTTGCTCATTCTCACACACACCCACAACACTGAGGAGGTGCTACACTGTAGGAGGCGCTGCCTGTTGAATAAAACACTAAACCGAGGCCGTGTCTGCTCTCTCAGATGGATACAAAAGATTCCAAAGCTCTACTCTGAAGACATTCATGGAAGTTCTTCCCAATCTTTAATAACACCACTAAATAAGATAAGGTATAGATAAGGTGAATGGCAGCTGTCTTTTCTCTAGGGTGGGGTATTTCAAGACTCAGGGGCATATTTTTATGGTGAGAGGAGAAAGATTTTTTAAAAAATGAGACTTCTTTTTTTTAAACACAGACAGAGGCTCGTGTGTGTAATGAACATCCACACTGTGGCTACAGTTACAACAGTTAAAAGACATTTAGATAAGTACATGAACAGGAAATGTTTGAAGGGATATGAGCCAAGAACAGACAGGTGGGATAAGTTTAGTTCGGGATTATGATCAGCATGGACTGGTTGGACTGGAGGGTCTGTTTCCACGCTGTATGACTCTATAAAACTGGTTCTCTGGTTATTTACTACCCTGCTGGTTGTTGAAGCTTGCTGTGTGCAAACTGGGTACTGGATTTGCAAAACTCCACAAGTACTTCAGTCAATAAATGTGGAGCTGGACAAGCAAATCTGGTCAGATAGCATCTGTGGAGCAGGAAAATCAATGTTTCAGGCCAAAACCCTACATCAGTCCTGACGAATGATTTCAGCCCAAAATGTTGACTTTCCTGCTCCTCGGATGTTATCTGACTGGCTGTGCTTTACTAACTCCCAGCACCTGCAGTCTTTACTGGCACCCAGTCCACAAGTACTTCATTGACTGCAAAGCATTCTGGGACATCCTGAAGTAATGGACATCGCTAATAGTAATGCTAGGTCCATCTTTCATTCAAGAGACAAAACTGAATTCTGAATTATAAGGAAGGCTGCAAAAATATTCAAGACCCACATTTAAATCTCAATTTGGGCTGTCATAACATTTGAACTTCCTGTGAATGCTATGAGCGTAAAATTTAATGTCACCCATTTAGGCAGGATAGCGGGGTTGGGGGGGGTTCCACAGATTTTTAATAGACAAACCAGGGTTACACAGCACAACAATAAGACTGAGGAGTTAAAGGCACAGATTGCAGTGTAGGATAAAGGTGATGTTGTGGTGATAATGGATGTCTGCAATGTAGAGAATATCAGCTGGTGGGAAGGATAGGGAGGAATGATATGGCTGAGTATTTTGCATCTAGCTTTAACTATGAGACAGATGCTGCCTAGGTCCTGGTGACAGAGGAGGAAATCAGAAGGGGTTAAAATTGAGAAGTTGTTGGTACCTTTAGGTTGATAAGGAGAGAGCTGTGTTAGATATATCCAAGGATATTGAGTGGAAATTGCAGAGGCACTGGCAGTAATTTTTTAATCTTTCCTGGGTTTGATGAGGAGGTGTGGTGTCAGAGCACGGAGAATTGTATACATTACATGCAAATTGAGGAAAAGATGAGCCCAGTAATTGCAGACCAGTCATTTTCACTTCAGTAGTGGGGAAACTTATAGAAAAAATATTCACGATAGAATTAATAGTCACATGGAAAAATGTAGATAGATTCAGAACAGTCAGCATGGACTTGTTTAGGGAAAATTGGACTTAGAGGTAACAGAGATGATTGGTTGATGAGGGGAAAGGCTGTAGTGTGCTGCATGGACTTCCAAAAGTCCATGGGTCAATATGGAGGGTGGGTAGTGATATAAAGAACATGGGGAGTCAGTATAAAAGACTTCCTTTTGATACAGTGTCATACATTACACTTGTGAGAAAAGTTATAGGTCATGGAAGAAAAGGGACAGTAGCAATGTTAGTACACAATTAGCCATTGGATAGGAAGCACAGAGTGATGGATAATGAGGAATTTTCAGATAGGATGCTTTTCAGTGGAATTCCCCAGCGATCAGTATTGATACCCTTGCTTTTCTACAAGACCTGTGTGCAGTGGAGAATTTCAAAGTTTGCAGATGACACGAAACCTGAGGGAATTGGTAACTGTGAGGAAGGCAGTGTAAAACCTCAAAAAGTTATCGACAAGTTGGTGGCATGGGCAGAATAGTGGCCAATGAAATTCAATATGGAGGGTGGGTTGTGATACAAAGAACATGGGGAGTCAGTATAAAATAAATTGGTACTAGTTCTAAAGAGTGTGCAGGAGCCAAGAGACCTTGGTGTACACGTACACAAGCCATTATCAGAGGCAGGACAGTTCGAGTAAACCATTAATAAAGTGTAAAGTATTGTAGGTTTCATAAATAGTGGCATAAAATACAAGATTAGGGAGGTTATGCTTAATCTATCTAAGAACATATATGTGATATATTGTTACAGCCCTCTCAAAAATGATCAAGTAAACAGAGTCATTTATTTTATTGAATGTAAGGGTAAGCTAACTTTCAGAAAAGGAGGAGAAAATATACAAGTAGGGTGAAAAGATCTTCAGATTTAGGCACAGAAGTGTTCAAGGAAAGATGATTAAAAAACGGACTCAAACAATTTTCAGCAGAGTACAGGAGGCCGAGAAATGTAATTGATTTTTTTTTAATTACTTGATGGGTTTAATGGTTTCAGTGGGAAAGGATTCACTCTTCTGGTTAATGAGTCATTGATGATAAAGGATAAATCAATTTTAAATTATCACAAGAAAGAGAGGTTACGAGAAAATTCTCTGGTCAGAGAGTTGTTGAAGCGCTGAGATGGTTTGTTGCAGAGGTTAGTTGAGGCATAGATATTGCATCTTTAAGGGAAAAGTAAAGGGTTGAGACTTCTTCCAGGTCCACAACCCTTCAAGATATCTCCACTCTTCCAATTCTGGCTTCTGGTACATCTTTAATTTTAATTGCTCCATCACTGACGTTGATTGTACCTTCTGCTGCACAGACTCTAAGGCTCTAGAATGGACTCTTTAAACCCTCCGCCTCTCTCCTTCTTTAAGACACTATTTAAAACCTAACTTCTTTGACCAAACGTTGGTCACCTGATATCTCCTTGCATAGCTGAGTGTCAAATCTTGTTTAATAATCACCCCTGTAAAGCTCAATCTATGACATTAAAGGAATTACTACATGAAGTTATACAGTTCAGTGTGAAAAATTGAAAGGAAGAGTACTATTTAAATTGTTACATATTGGGAGGTACAAGGGATCTGGATGTCCTTGTAGACCAGTCAATGAAAAGTAAACAGGCAGGTTCAACGAGCAATTAAGAAGGCAAATGGTATATTGGTCTTCATTGCAAGAGAAATTGAGTTCAGAAACAAGGATATCTTATTGCAGTTATACACAGCCTGGTGAGATCACATCTGGAGCACTGCTTGCAGCTTTAGTCTCACTACCTAAGAAAGGACATGCTTGCCATAGATGGAATGCAAGAGAGGTTCACTAGGCTGATGCCAGGGTTGGCATGACTGTTCAGAGTTTAGAAGGATGAGAGGCGATCTGACTGAAACATACAAAACCTCTTACAGAGCTGTACAGACTAGGCACAGGAAGGATGTTTTCCCAGACACAGTCTCAGGATACGGGGAAGGCCGTTTTGGACTGAGATGAGAAAAACCTTCATTCAAAGGAAGATTGGAACATTCTATCACAGAAGGCTGTGGAGGCCAAGTCACTGAATATATTCAAGAAACACATAGATAAACATTTAGGTTTTAAAAGCATCAAGGTGTGTGGGGACAAAGTGGGAAAAGAGCATTGAGAACTGAAGATCAGCCATGATCATATTGAATGGCGGAGTAGGCTTGAAGAGCTGAATGGCCTGCTTCTGTTCCTAGTTTCTATAATGCATGGTGCTGCTGAAATAGAGGAAGAGCCAGGGCTTTGGTGAGAAACAAACAAACTAGGAGCATGAATAGGCTATACAGCTCCTCAGGCCTGTTCATTCAATAAGATTGTGACCTTAACTCCACATTCTTGCCAACCAAAATAATCTCCTACTCACTTGTTACTTAAGAATTTATTTACCTGTGGCTCAAGGAAAACAGGACAGTTAGACTGCTGTCTGAGTCCCTTCTGTGCAGGAACATTTCACATTTAAAACTGTAGAAAAACTGCAAGTGAGAAGAAGTTGTCGTGGTTATTTCTGAAGGGAAGCAAAGAAAATTGTCCGTTTCTTCCTTCAGCAGCTTGTTATAACCAAATACTGGGAAAGGCAAATTTATTTCTTAAGTCAGACCATTGCCCATTCAAAAGAACAAACATAGAGAGGAGGAATATATTAATCTACCTTTTCTTCTGTTCTGGGAAGTTATTTTTGAAAGAACAAGGTTGGAAAGACAGAGTACATTAAATTGAGAATATTAGATACAAAAGAAGGATCACAATTGGTTTCCAACAGGGCATGAAGAGAACGATCCGCATAGATTAAATTGATTAGATTATTTATAAATCACCATGAAACAGGAGCCAACATGAAGCAATGAGCTACAACATTATGTGCACACATCCAACATTTGGTTTTCATTCAAGCCCGCAGAACAAGATAAATTTCTTCCTTTTTCTGTTAACAACAAGGGTGTCAATCAAAAGAAAGAATTTAATCTCTGTTCTTACTGGATACAAACCTACAGCAATAAAACTTACAATCGTTTGATACAAAACTAGCAAGCTCACTCAAAAAGCCTGAAGATTTTGGGAAATATTGATGATACGGATTAGAGGGAGCAGGCAGTGCTCTATGTTGACGCTCAACAAACACGCAAAACAAGCTTCTGAATAATGAGATAGTAAGAACTGCCGATGCACTATTTACAGGTTAATTCAAAAACAGAGTACTGGGGATGCTGAAAATCTGAAATAAAAACAGAAAATATTGGAAACACTAGTAGGATTGACAACATCAGGCCTATGATCTTTATACCAGAACTGATTCTTTATTTGAAAATATAAAACAGAAAACAATTAAATTCACATGGTACACACCGCTGCAAAAATATGGGTGAAGCTGAAGATTTGTGTATTTTAAGCATCTTTGATAATTTTATCTCAGTTATGTCCTCACTTTGGATTCACATTTTCACAATTCTTTGTAAGGATTTTTGAAGTAACACCAGGGCTTATGTCACTGGTACAAAACCAGGATGAGGTCACCCAGCTATGGGAAATATGCCAGCAAAATGCATCATGAAGGGGCAAGAGTGGGGTCACTGCCTATACTTAGCCATATGGAAAATATCCTATGTTAATCAAACCATCAGGCAGCTTATATTTGTGCTGTAACCAAAATCACTTATTTCCTCCTCTGTAACCTCACCTAAATTCACCTTGACTCAGCTCATCTGCTGCCGATGCCCTCATCTACGCCCGTTACCTCTAGACTCAATGCCTCCTGATGAGCCTCCCAGATTCTCTTCTCTATTAACTTGAGCTCATCCAAACATTGCTGCTTGTGCCTTAATTTGCACCAAGTCCTGGTCCCCAAACACTGATTGATCTATATTGGATCCTCAACAGCAAGCTTTAATTTTAAAATGTTTGTCTTTGTTTTCAAATCGCTCCATGGCTGTGCCCCTCCTACTCTATAACTTCTGTCAGCCTCATTAACGTCCAAAATATGTTGTGTTCTGCTAATTTAAATCTCTTATGTGTTCCTGATTTTAATCACTGCACTGTTCAGCTTCCTGGCCTCAAGCTCTGGAATTTCCTCCCTAAACTCTTTACCCCATTACTCCTTCAAGATACTCCTTAAAATCTACCTCTTTGTCAAAGTTTTTGGTCATCTGATCTTATATCTCCTAATATTGCTCAGTGTCATACGTTGCTTTATAATGGTACTGTGAAAAACATTGGCACTGCTAATTACATTGAAGGTCCTTTATAAATTCAAGTTACTGTTTATAATGTTAATTAATCACAGCCACAGCTGGACTTTGGTCACATAGCTAATGGCTAGGACAAAGGATATATCAACCAGAGTGGCCTAATATTAGGACTTCCCTATTCGACAACGAGGATTTGATTAACTGGGATGGGATAAGTTCAATTTGATGGACCAACACAATCAACTGCTTTAAGGGCACAGTAAGAAAAAAACCTAATCCAAGCAAACTAAAGCTCAAAGGTAATGATATCCCAACTAAATCTTACTATCAGCATATTGCAAACCAATGTGATGCTGTTCATGGTTGAATTACACCTTCATTTTGCACTGCCTCATGTGACAACGTTTTGGGAAAGTACAAGAAGGAGAAAAACCACCATAAGCTAAAGGCAGCACCTTCCTAAAAGTTGGGTGAAAACAAAATACCAAACACCTTGTTAGACATCACCTTTAATCAGCTGCTGCAGGGCCGCGTACCTCTTGTTGCGAACATTTGTTCGGGCAGTTTTCTTCATGGAAGACTTCCTAATTTCTTTACAGTAAAAAGTTACTTCGTAGTTGTCAGCCAAATGGTTGAAACAGACAAGATGCTCTTCTTTGATGATTTTGTGAAAACGTTCAAGGAACACCACTGGCTTACACCAGAAAAGATCCTTGATGATATCCAGCTTCTGGTCATACATGAGATCAGGCTCATCCTTCTGCTGGCTTTTGATCTGTGCTTTGCTACTGGCAATCGTATGAAACATGCTGTTCAGTGAAGCATTCATAGCATCTTCCTGTTGCTGGTCATGAGGCTCGTTCATCATTCTGGCAGCGTCTCCAATCTCGAAACCTGTTGAGGTAGGAACACTGGATTTGATCTGTTCCTCAACATCACTTGGGGTAACATGACCCTCAGTGGAGACTGTAAGCATCCCTTCCATCTGTGAATTGGCCTCCTGAGTGACACTGTCTGCAGAAGGGTCACTCACTTTTGGAATATCTTCTAAGAGATCTTGTGTCTGTGAGCCTATGAATAATAACATTTCACATGAATTGTACCATTCAGTATAACTTGTACTTTTATAAATTACAGCATAACTGAGAGAGAAGGAGATTTGTTTCTAAATTCAAAATGCTAAAAATGCATAGCTAACCCAATTCCTGGGCAAATCTTTATGAGATTTATATTACAGCTGGAGAATATTCGGCCCATCATGTTTATGAGATCCTGGCAGAGCAATTGTATCTTCAGGAAAGAGTTCTGATGGAAGGCTCTATGTGAAATGAATAGTGCATTTCTTTTTAAAACACCGACTACCTTGCTGCACGGGCATTTTTTTTTAAATTTAGATTTCCAACATTGCATGTTTTCTTCAAATGTTTTATTAGATTTGTTTTTAGCTCATACTTTCCAAATCTCATCTCGAATAGCTGATATAAACACTCACACTAGCATTAAAATAATTATAGTTCGATTGTCATTTTACTGGGTCCACGGTGAAAAACTAAATAATCTGGTGATGGGGGAAAGAGAAAAGAATTGGTTTATGCAACAGTCTGACTAAAAATAATTTTCCAAAAACATGGGAATTCTTTAATAAATTGAAACTGGATTTGGAATTAAGTCGCACGCTTGGGAGTTCAGGCTGTGAAGGCCTCAATGTTCTGAACCCTCCTCATCCGATAGATGTTATTCTATGTTTTACCTGCCATCCTTTTCGAAGTCTTCTCGATCGACCACTTCACATTTTACCCACAACCACCGCCGTTTTTATTTTGCGCCGAGTATTTGTCGAGAGATACTTTAACACAAACATTTACAACCCGGAACCCAAAGGGTAAGGAACTGGTTTCGACCTTAAACAAGGTCCGATTTCGGGGAAATTAATCGCGGGTCTAAGGTTCCACCCTGTCAACAGCCCAGGAGGACAATAAACTGCTCTTCATAATAATTGATAATATAATTGCTTCATGAGGGACTATTAAATTGACGGGTAAATTATTTGAAATAAATAGAATTTCCTGTCATTTACAATTTGAGTTTAACGCGAGCCAGATATTTTTGGGTTTAAATAGCTGAAACTCACCAGCTGTGATGCAAATTTTTTATTTTTTGACAATTAATAGATGTTATATTCTCCAGTGAGGTTAACATAACCTTAAAGTGCAAGATCATTTTTCTGAAGGCCTGTGGCAGAATTAATAATTCCAGACTCCAACGTTTACTGTGTTCTGTCTCCACAGATGCTGCCAGACCAGTTATATCTCTCCAGCATTTTTTAATTACTCTTTCAGATCTCCAGCATCTGTTGTATTTTTGCTTTCTTTTAATGAGAAACATTTGTATAGTTGACCATTTGAAGCATAGAGTAGTTACATATAGCCCCAAGGAAGACAACATAGTTAACTGGGGTCCACATTGGTTCACCACAGTTGGTCCAGTTCTTTGTCTTTTCACTGTAACCTTGATTTTGTTTCTCTTTTCAAATAATTATTTGATACCCTTTTGAAATCTGCCTTCACCGCAGTCTCAGATAGTACAAATTATTCATTGTGTAGAAAATATATTTTCTCATGTCGACTTGATCTTTTGCCATTAACCTTGAATTGTGTCTTCTGGTACTCAAACCTTTAGCCAATGGAAACAATTTATTTTTATCGACTCTGGATCTCTCATGATTTTGATGCTTCCATCTAATCTTCTCTTAACCTTCTCACTCCAATGAGGCTTGTTCCTCTAATCAATTCTTATTTCTGAAGTGTGTCATCACCAGAACCATTTAAAATATTTTCTATATCTTCTCTCATGCCTTCACATCATTTCTAAAGTGTGGTGACCATTTGTATTAAGATATTTAAAGTTCTCAATTATAAGTACACAATAGCTTTTGCATTTATTTGCAAATTTGTTCCTCCATATCTTTCCCACTAGAATGTAGCCCACATGATACACCCAGTAGTCTACCCAGATACACCCGATAGATGCCTCTATTGTTCTTAGCTCTAACCAAATAGGTTCTGGTTTTGACCACTCTAGGACATCGTCTAACTCTCTCTCTTTCTTTCTTTCTCTAGCAGTATGATATTTTCTTGCCTCACAATTGTCACCCTTCTACCTTCTTTTATTCCATTTTTCCTGAATGCATTGTATCCAGGATATTTAGGATCTAGTACTGTCCTTTCTTAACTTAGTGTTCCATTTCCACTATACCACTATATTGGGACTTGGCTGTCTATGGTTTCATTTCGACAACTATGTTTACCTCACCTTGTGTTGTTTATGGTTCTGAAAGGATTAGCACTAAAACTAGGTGCTGTGATTATATCATGGGGACATTGTCAGTGTAATGAAATAATTTATAGGAGATACTGCTGAGGCTATTATGCTCTTAATACTCTCTGTAGTGTGTAGATCATATTCAAGCAACCTGTAAACAGTTACTGTAATTTACTATGCTAATATTTCTACTATTTTATACCACCCAGCAAGGTAAGCCTATCCAGTTGAACTTATTGCTAAACTAAAACCTCAACTGGGAGAGATTTCAGATCATTAAAGAAACTTAGTCAGCAGTACTAGCTATAGACTGATTCTTAAGTAAAATGTCTTTCCTCCAAGAAATTTTCAGATAGCAAAATAACCTCAGGATAGAAATTGTTTTCTTGCAAAGTTAACATAGCCCAAAAGGACCATAGGGCTACTCTTGCAGAGGTGACTGCTAGTGAGTTGAACTTGAGGGCCACCATGCCTCAGATGAGTGGTGTGGTTGATAAGGCAGGACCTTCACAGTACCCTCTGCCACAATGGGAATTTATCCCACGCTGTTGGTATCACTCTGCATTGCAAACCAGCTGTCCAGCCAACTGAGCCAACCAACCCACCTTTTCTAGAAGTATAGTAGAGCAGAAATAACTTGGCTAACCTAACTGTTGCGATAGTAAACTGTGAAGTATTAATTTTCAACTTGCAGCACTTCATTTTCAAAATGTGTGCAATTTCATGAACTAGAATGGTTTTAAACAAGGAAGAACAATAGCTTAAGATTGCTACATTAACAACTAACTACAGATTGAGCCAGTTCATAAAATCATCAAAAAACAAGAATCAGTCTGAACCAAGTTGTGGAGATGCTGAATAGGATTGGGGTAGACAAAGTCAGAAATCACACAACACCAATTGAAGTGACCTGATGAAGGAACAGCCTAAATAAACCTGTTGGACTATAACCTGGTATAGTCTGAACCAAAATTGACATTGTTATAAAAAAGTACTGAAACTTAAGTCTGTGCCATATTTCTGGACAGGTTTCACACATTTAAGATGAAAGTTACCTGCAGATTATGCAACAACAATTAAGGCAGGCATAGAAATACACAAATTAAGTTTATTTCAGGCAATTGCTTTTTAACAGGATAGAGAATATAAAATGGATTTATAACAGCAGAACTGGAAATCTCCCTTACTCCCTGCTTTTCCTCTCAGCCTCTCAGAAGACAAAATCCGGTGAAAAATAATTTGGAGAAACACCTATTCACTGAGAACTCAAATATGTTTACAACTTTTAAAAAAAAAGTCTTAAAAAAGATAGACAGAGTAGCTGTAGAAAGTTTGTTTCTCGTAGCTGTGGGGTCTCGAGTGAGAACAGTCAGTCTCAGATTAAGGAGTAGATCATTTAGGAATGGGATGAGGAGGAACCTTTTCATTTTGTGGGTGGTTAACCTTTGGAGTTGTCTAGCCCTACATATGTTTAAGATAGGGATCATTAGATTTCTAGTTAGTCATGAAATTAAGGGATGTCTGGATAGCATGGCAATTATGTTGGCGAGGTAGTTGATCTAAAATGAAAGAGCTGGCTTGAGGGGCTGAATGGCCTGCTCCTATATTCCTACACATAGCATCAGGATAAACCTATCACCTCAAGGACCTTCAAACCACAGATTCTTTTATCTTCCTTTTTATAGAGTCATACAGCACAGAAACAGACCCTTTGATCTGAACAGTCCATGCCGAACATAATCCCAAGCAAATCTAGTTCTACCTGGCTGCTCCTGGCCCATATTCCTGCAAACCTTTCTTATTCATGTATTATTGAAAATATTTTAAACATTGTAATTGTACCTACATCCATCACTTCCTCAGGAAGTTCATTCTACATGCCAACCACCCTTTGTATAAAAAAATTTGCCCCTCATGTCTTTTTCAAATCTCCGTCCACTCACCTTAAAAATGTGCCTGCTAGTCTTAAAATCCTCCATCTTAGAGAGAAGACACCTACCATTTATCCTATCTATACCACTCATGATTTTATAAACTTCCATAAGGTCACCTCTCAACCTCCTATGCTCCAGTGAAAAAAGTCCCAGCCTATCCAGACTTTCTTTATGAGTCAAACCTTCCATCCTGGTAAATCTCTTCTGAACCCTCTGCAGCTTAATAATACCCTTCCCATAATTGGATGACCAGAACTGGATATAGTGCTCCAGAAGAGCCCTCACCAATGTCTTGTACAACCTCAACATGACTTCCCAACTCTTATACTCAAAGGACTGAGCATTGAAGACAAGCATGCTAAATGTCTTTTTAACCACCTTGTCTATATATGACACAAACTTCAGTCTTTTGCTTTTCTGTGGTGGTGTCCTACACTTTATTTGAAGTCTAATATAGTTGTGCTCCTTTCTTCTAAGAAACGTCATGGAAGACTTGAAACATTAACTCCGTTTCTCACTCCACAGTTTCTGGCCACCTGCTGATGAGTCTTTGTCAGATTTATGACTGACCAAAGAAGACCCAACTCAAAAGAAAGGCATTCAGATTGTGACAAAGCAAAGCTTTGAAAGTGAAACAAATCAATCCTAGAGGGAGAAGATAAACGTGCAGGAGATCCACAGAAACTATTTATAGCTTAAAGTACAAAAGAACAAAAGACACACTAGGTAAATCAATGCAACAGATAGGACACTAAAAGTTCTTGTCAATATTGTGGAGTAAAGAAACTTCACAAGCTTAAATAGTGCATGGCTTTAAAAACCAAATGTTTTCATTGTAAGAAAATAGGTAACTTTCAGAAAATGTGTCATTGCAAGATACCGCCACAGAAAAGCAAAAGGCTGAAGAACTACCCACATGAAGTAATAAATGTGATGGAAATATCTTCAGTAGAAGATTAATCCAAAGTTTCCCTCAGGGAAATCAGTGACCTAGATCAACTATTTTGCCATGCAAATATTCACAATAACAGAAGTCTCATGATTTTCAAGTTAGATATAGGAGCAAGTGTTACAGTATTATCATATTGAGAGTTTTTTTTAGCAAAACACTGCTTACAGTTGACAGAAGTGCAGCTATGTGATCCAGAGTCATTAACAGTAGAGATATTCTACAAACAACTTTCCAACGTACTGTTATGGACCAGACTAAACCTCCTGAAAATATTAAGAAGATAGCCTAGACCCTAAATTTTTCTTATTTTAAAGGCAAGTGCCAGGTGTTGCATTCAGGATGCAATTCTATTGATCAAACTACCAGATTTGAAGCAAAACATTCTGTACCTAAGATGGCGCTAAAAAGCAACATTACAAACTTTTCACTGCACTCATTCGAGTGCACGTGACAATAAAGACTATTCTATTCCAATAGTTAAAATACAGACTAAAGAAAGAAGAAATTGGGATAACAATTCTATTCTATTAGAAAACTTAACAGAATAATAGGTTATTTAACTACTATATGGTAACTGTTCCAACATAATATCATAGCGTAAAAACACCCTTGGCAAAGGCAAATTCGTAAAATAGATTGTCTCACGTGTAATTCTAACAGGAGGAAGAGAATCCCAGCTTTCAGCTGTAACAAAGAGAGGAAAAACAGCTTCCTCATCCAGCTTCAAAACCCCTGCTACTGCTACTGAAAAAC